CTTTGTTTTATTGATTTAAATAACCAATAATAAATTATCGAGAATCGAGAAAATAAATAGAAGCAATATTAATTCTCCATCAGTCTTGTATATCTCCAAATTCACATTATTTGATAATTAGTACCTTTCCGCGTTTCATTTTAGAGCTTGTGATATTAAAGAACAATAAACAAATCTATTCCTGTAAGTTTTACCCCATTACCCAGTCCACCACCGAACTTTATACAATGTTTATACTAATTAATACAAATTAATTTAAAACCCATAGAAATTTAATCATTACTACTTCTAAAAATATTCTTTAATGATTGATATCGAATATTATTTAATTTTAAGTTTCTATAATTTATTATTGGTTTTCATAATTATTAAAACAAAGTGAATTTGATAAAACAACTTACGCCTATATATTTTCTTTTTATTATTTTTTGTTGTTTATGTTTCATACATTTAATTATGAATTATAAGAACATTGTTTATAATATTAACTGTATTAATGAATGGGGATTAAAACATGGTTAACATGTATAGTTTGTCAGCATTTTATGTTATTTCAATCTTGATTGAAAATTATAAAACATATTTCCTGCTTAGTATTTAACATAAAATTCTATATTTTTGTAGTCAAATCATGAGAAATCACAACAAATAACATTTAAACTTCGACGAAACAAATGCCCACCAGTTTATATCGGTGACAAACAAATTCCTCAGACGGACACTGAACTTTACCTCGGGCTAATATTCAACATAAATACTATAGTTGAGAGCTACATATCAAAATGAAAAGGAAGACTTTGAACGACCGACTGAAAATACTATATTCCCTTTTTTCCAAACCAAAATTGAAAATCAGACAAAAACTGAATACATATATTTACCTGCTCGACTCATTTGGACATACGCCTCACAGATTTACGGTCCAGCAAAAAAAGACTCACTTACAAAAACTACTTTTCAATCTATCTTAAAAAATTATCTTTTCAATCTAAAACACATACGTACTCTCTACTCCCGATTTCATTTTAAATTACACGGACATCACAACGGACTTGTCAACGATAAGGCCACGGCTGAAATACCCATCAGGAGGCGACTGAAAAGGAGCTGGAGCTGGATGAGAGATCTCCTTTCTTGATGGAAGGATGTAAACAGACCAGGGAAAAAGTGCGGCTGGGTACTTATCATGCCATTTTTTACCGTAACAACAAATATGCTAATTGTCACTATAATGACAGGTGCGGATGAAGAGGGGACGGGGTGGCCAAACGGGCTAACGCATGTGCACATCACCGCCCTTGCCAGCAAACCTAATCAAAACAGATTGATAAAAAAATAGTACGAGTTCACGTCCCGGAGCCCAGGTGTTTTAAATCCCCGTCCTTACACCCGGAACCGGAAAAGCCTTAAAGGCAAGGAACGGGAGAAAAAAAGAAATCTCGTACTTTTTATTGGAATAAAAAGAGTTTTAGTGGACCATAAAAACGAATCTTAATTGTGTTTTTCATGAAGAATATTTACTTGGCGTAATTTACTGGAACCGTTTATAGGTTTTGGTAATTTATTATATACACGAATTCGTTTAATAAAATTAGGAATATGACTTAGTTTATACGAAAAAGCAAATCGATTAATGTATAATAACATATAAATCCATGTAGAGTTAAGTTAGACAAACAGTATTACAAAAAAATAATAAAATATTATAATTTTTTTCTCGGCTCTTAGGGCCCATTAAATTTAACTCTCGGTCATGGGTCTAATATTTTTCGAGATAGTTTCACCAAAAAAAGTTTCGTTGAATCTGGTGACCCCAACCTCCGAATCCTTCTCTTTTTTTACTCCGACGTAACAGTGCACAGTAGCTCTATTAAAAAAAGGCCTGATGCCTTTGCGAACTTCCTAAAACTAATGGAATCTATTAGTTCGCAGCGCTTAGGGTCAGTGATACCATCGCATCCATAGTGGAAGTACTACATTCTAACCAAAGTATCACATCCGCATATAATGTGATAGGCTGTTTCATCCTCCAAGCCACAAAGCTTAAAGGTGGGAGTCTCACTTAAGACTTAGATAAAGAAGTGCTTATTGAGTCGACAGTGACCAATATACGGTGCTGTCACACACCTAATGGTGCTCCTGCCTATTAGAAGAAGTGATACACTTCTCTTGTGACAGTGTCCTACTAGGAACAACTTAGAGTGAGCTTCTTTCCTAGTCTGTTCCCAGTAAAACATAGTTTTGCTGCCAACTACTGCCTTAATATGCCTTAACTACTGTTTAAATATTTTAAGTATTCTTAAATATTTTAAGTACAACTAAAAACGTTAAAATAAAAATAACGAATCAAAAAAAAAAAAAAAACCATAGAAGTTGGTGGAAATCCTGTCCATCTCAAGTTGAAATATTCGTGTACACTAATTTCAAAAGTATATTTCAATCTACCAAGGTGTTAAAGTAGATATCCAAATAAACTCCCTTAGGATGGATAGTATTTTTGATTTCTGTGGTCGGATTTGTTAATTCAATTTTTTAAATATTATTTCTGAAATATGTTTTTTGTTGGTTCTTATCTTCGTTAATTCTTCATGAAATCCAATGATTGAGCCATAATTTTGAAGATTATCTTCACCTACAGGTGGTTTTAAAAAAAATTAATCACTTGAAAGAATTATTAATTCATATGATCCACCACAATAGGTACACTTTGCTGGGGTTTTTCTAGACTTACGGTGGTATAGTAACCTCGATTAGGTCTTATGCATTTCGGTTGGTGATTGCGACATGTTTTTTTATGACCTGCTGATATGATATAATATATTGGATTAACTATCAGTAATAATAGCTGTGAATAATTGTGTTATTGATGCTTAATTATTTTAACCTGATATATCGGAAAGAAAATGAATATCTACATTTATATTCTCTCAAAATTAGATATCTTTGTTTTGAAATTTCAACGGTAGCTCAGTGATTCCTATGATTCCATTGTGAAGTTTTCCTTCTAGGAATTCTGTCTGCAAACAAGTCTAAATTTTATTTCTAACCATTTTCACTTGTGCAGTTTCCTTAATCTTCTTCTTTTTTTTTGTTCTTCCCTTTTAGGCTATACGGAGTTTTCCGGGCTAGGAGTTGAGGACGGAGGATTAATGGCAGAGTTAAAAAACCCAACCGGTGCCGGTACGCGAGCTCGTAGTTATTTTATTATCTATCGTTCATTTATCAGGTTGCTGGGCAACGCGTTAGCTCACTCGGCCACCCCGCCCCTCAGTTTCCTTAATCCAATAGTTTTCTCTTTCCAGAGGCGTAACTAGATTAGCAAAGCGCTGGAGCAGCCACTCACGCCCTGGCGCTCCACCACACTCACTTTCAAAATCGTTGCTTCCTAGTCTCCAGTCTAGGTTTTCCCCTTAGCTCCACCGCCGCATATAACCTATAGCTTTTTCAATTTCTGCCTTTTCTATATCAGCTGTAAGTCTTGTATCTATCTATGTCTTGTATCTATATCAGCTGTAAGTCTTGTATCTATCTATGTCTTGTATCTATATCAGCTGTAAGTCTTGTATCTATCTATGTCTTGTATCTATATCAGCTGTAAGTCTTGTATCTATCTATGTCTTGTATCTATATCAGCTGTAAGTCTTGTATCTATCTATGTCATGTATCTATATCAGGTGTAAGTCTTGTACACTATCTCTCCAGCGGTCCTTGAGTCTCCTTCTACTTCTCTTTCCATTTGGTATGACCTCGTAAAATGTTTTCGACATCCTGTTATCTTCCGTTCTCATTAATTGCCTAACCATTTCAGTCTCTGGATTATGATACTGGCCTAGATATTCAGGTCTTTGTATTTATAATACATCTCTCCATTTCTCTTAAACTGCCATATTTAAAATTCACCTATTGGATGTTCCTTAGTATTCTTCTCTCAAAACGGTCTAATAGATCAAACAATCTTAGGCATTCTAAAGTACTTTGTTGTCTAGCATAATCCTTTTCTTCAATTTTTCTTCTTCTTCCAGTTCTTCAATTACTATTGGTCCAAGGTATTGGGAAGCTGATTACTGCTGTTCCCATTACGTAATTTAATTTTAGGGTGAGCTTGTTTCTTTCTTCCGAGAGCCATTATCTTACTTTTATTTGTATTGATTTCAGCCTTGTTCTGCTTGTTTTTCTTGCAACTTTTCCAATTGAATCTTTTATAAAGTTCCGTAATCTGCTGACATCAGCTGTATCATCCACTTAACCAAGAAGCTGTTTGGTTTTATTAAATAGTGTACAGCATACCTCTGTTTATGGAGAGGTATTTTTGTGCAATGTATTTTTGTGATTAATTTAAAATATTATATCCCAGGTAACAAAAAAAGTTGTTTGATAAATTATTGTGACTATCTATTTATGCTAATAACAGAGGTATTTTGGAATGACACTTACATAACAACCTTTTTACATAACTTAATCTATAACAAGCTTCTGCTTAATGAAAAGGAATTAAAGCTTAGTAAACTAGGTAATTAAAAAAATCGTGATTAATCAATGATTTTATAAAATTCATAGTTAAAGGTCTCATTTAAATGCTTTTAACAAAGAAAAAATCTTTTAGTGCTTAAAGTAAATTTTGTCTATTTGATTATGAAGCAGTAGTTAATTACCTAAATTAAATATGTACTAACTGTCGTTTCTTATTTACCATAAAAGTGACTTACTTAAAAAAAAAACCACAACTTAAATTTTCTACTATTCTGTGGAAAAATCGGAACGTTGTTTACATAAACTTTTTTGTAGCTCTCAAGGTCTGTTAACTATTTTCTTTTACTTACGGAAACCCTTTATACGCTTGTATCTATTGTGTTTCTGCATCGTGATCGTGATTTTTTATGTTCTGATTTATTTTAATATTTTTTAGTCTCGGTATGGTGCCCCTTCCCAGCCCAGCCAGCTAAGCTCTTGCTTCTTTTCTCTGCAACCGTTATCAGTACGACTAGAAAACCTGTACTTACATAACGAACTTTCCTGAACTTCAGTAGACCTTGTACTTTTGCATAACTCCTCCGATGGTGAGGCTGATGTTAAAGGTCGGCTAAAACTGACAGCTTGTTTAGAGTTGTTCTGATAACCTATATTTTATCATCAATTTCAGCAAGCTTAGAGAACTAGCAAGAGTATTTGATCAGTGAGCTAATCCAATAACAACATTTTACAATAAGATTATTGGATTGTACAATAAGATTATCAGATAAATCCACCTCTGCAAATCTATTCATTAATTTTCCTCAGTAATTGGTATGGTTTATGGTAACTATAAAATTCGTCATTCCTCACTATAAGTATACATTTTCTTAGAGATACTTTATATACTTTACAATGAGATTGAATTTGTTATGCTGAGATTGAAGTTGGTTTCCTACTGGTAAAACCAAATCCTATTCTACTTCTTTGTTATTCCTTTCACATATATTTTAAGAGTTATTTGAATGGCTTCATATCAAACGCTGAACATCTATCATTTTTAGAAAGCGGAGAAAAAGTTACAACTTTTTTATTTAATGACAATAGTCTCCACTACTATCAATACATTTCTGCCAACGTTTTGGCAACTTTTCCATGTCCTCGGCATCGAATTTCCCATCATTAGAATTGATAAATTCCAAAAACGCATTTTCTAATTCCTTTTGTTCATTAAATTTGTTGTCGCGTAAGTAGTGGTCTAGGTGTCGAAAAAAAATATAATCCGTAGGCGAGAGGTCCGGGGAGCAGGACGGGTGTGGCAGAGTTTCATATTCAAGCTCTAACAAATTTTGTGATGTCACACGTGAGACATGCGGCCAGGTGTTGTCATGTAACAAAATGGGCCCCTTCCTATTGACCAAAGATGGCTTCATTATTCCCAATTTGTGATGTATTGCATTAATTTGGTTACAATACGGTTTTCCATTGGTGATTTCTCCAGGATTTAAGAAGCTGTAGTGTATCAGACCAAGTGAAGTCCGCCAAACAGTAACAATTATCGTTTTTTGAAGAGTTGTGGGCTTTGGAAAATATTCTGCTGATTTTCCTTTGGCAAGCCACTGTCTAGAACGTTTACTGTTATCGTAAAGTATCCTCTTTTTGCCAAAAGTAACAATTCTGGAAAGAAAAGGTTCTTTTTTGTTTCGGCAAAGAAGTGTAGCACAAACTTTATAACCCTGTTTTTTTTTTGTTAGTCGTTTAATATGTGTGGACCCAACTTTCAAGCTTTTTTACTTTTCCAATCGCCTTGAGGTGGTCATCGACGCTCGATTCTAAGGTTTAGTTTCTCTGCAACTTCTCGAACAGTTGTTCTGGGGTTTTCTTCCACCAAAGCCCTCAGAACATCGTCATCAAGAGAGGAAATCCTTCCATGAGCTTCTTTGCCTTCAAGGCTGAAGTCTCCATCCTGAAATTTTTTGAACCACTGTTGAACAATGCACTTATTAATGTTGCTCTCGCTCCAGATTTGATTGATGTTTCTGGCTGTCTGGGCTTTATTCCGGCAGAGTTAAGTATTGTAATCTGTCTGTTTGTGGAATCGGTACATTGTCTAAGTATACAGGAGGGCATGTTTCTGGTCTTAGAGTAAATGTGATGTGCTGTGACTTTTGATAATTTATTTGAGTTTTCCAAAGTTTACACCAATCGAGTACAATCTGTAAGTGATGTTTTAAGTTAAGTGATGCTTCTGTAGGATTGTCGTGCCTGGTAATGATAGCAGTGTCGTCTGCGTAGGTTGCTGTAAGAGTGTGGATACTTTGAGGAATGTCGTGTGTGTATGTGATGTACAGTAGTGGGGCAAGGATTGATCCCTGATGTACGCCAGCTAAAACTGATCGAATTGAGGATAGACCTTGACCATGTCGAACGGAGAAAAATCTATCTGAGAGAAAGGAATGGAGAATTAAGTAGTAAGTATGTGGAAGTATGGTCTTAAGCTTGAAGAGAAGCCCCTGATGCCATACTTTGTCAAACGCTTGGGCGACATCCAGAAATACTCCGGTTGCATATAGTTTTCGCTCTAGTGCTGTCGATATGTAGTCAGTTACCCTGTGTAATTGTTGTGTTGTTGAATGTAATTTTCGAAACCCGAATTGATGGTCAGGAATAATCTGTCTGTCTGTTAGTATATGTAATAGTCGTGGGTACAATAGTTTTTCGAATAACTTAGAACATACTGGAAGTAAACTAATCGGTCGATATGAAGAAGGATTGTTAGTGTCTTTGTCTAGCTTTTTAATCATGGTTATGTGTGAGTATTTCCATTGTATAGGAAATTTGGTGGTCCTGAGAATGCAATTGAAGATTGTGGTAAGAAACACTAGAGCTTTCCTTGGCATTTGCTGGAGCGCCTCAGCAGTTATCAAGTCATGACCAGGGGTTTTTCTTTTGGGCAATTGTCTAATTTCTTGTGAAACTTGTGATGGTGTGAAAGGAGGTGGTGGTAGTGTGAGCTGTAACGATATGTCTAAGTTATTATGTACAAAAATATCGTGTTCTGTATTAATTAAGTCTGTATGTGGTTTGAAAACAGTGGAAAGGTGGTTAGCAAAGAGTTCAGATCTTTCCTCGTCCGAAACAGCCCTAGAACCATCCTCTCTTCGTAGGGGGGCTGACACCTCACGATGCTTTAAAAGATTCCTTGTATGTCTCCATAAACTTCCATCGTCCGTCGAATGGTTGTTAATAAAATTGTCGTAGTTTGTGCTTTTGAATTTTTGAATATGTCTTTTGAGTTCGTTGTTCAATCTGTTAAAAGTTTGTCTGTCTGAAGGAAGTCTATTAGTCTGCCATACTTTACGTGCTTTTCTCTTTGCTCTGATCAAGTCCCTTATGTACATAGGATAATGGGGCAAGTTCGCTGCTTTTTGTGGCCTGGATGTTGATGAGGCCCATGCTGCATCTTGTATGCTTTTTGTGAATTTTTCAACAGCTTCTTCTAATTCCTCATGATTTTTAATTGAACCTGGAACAGAAAGATTGGTGTTCAAATGGTCTCTATATGCGTCCCAGTCCATGCAGCCTTTTATGAGCCTAGGTCTTTTTTGTGCTTCGGAAGGCGCGTCGAAGAGAACCATGTGCACTGAGGAGTGATCAGAACAAAGATCAGAGCTTGTATTGACGGCAAATGGTACGGTTCTTAGTCCTTTTGTAATAAAGAAATCAAGTAAGTCAGGAGTTTTGCGTCTGGAGGTGGGCCAATAAGTTGGTGAATTTGGAGTTACAGTGTCTAATGAAAGTTCATGGAGAACAGACCAGAGATTTCTGCCTCTTGGAGTAGACAACCTTGAACCCCAGCCTTGATGCTTAGCATTATAGTCTCCACCTGCGATGAAGCATCTTCCGAGGCGTTTGAAGAACTCAGAAAACATCGTGGGTGTAAGCTTGTACCTAGGGGGACAGTAAACTGAGACAAATGTTATAGTGTAGTGTGTAGTGCATAGTGTTATTCCTGTCGATTGTATGTCGGGTGTAATGGGTAAGTCTACGGGATTGTGTTTCAGTGAATTTTTAATGAGTATAGCTGTTCCTCCATGTGCGGTTTTATCTGGGTGATCAGTTCTATAAATTGTGTAATCCTGAATGTAAATTTTTGATCGAGATGTCAGGTGTGTTTCTGTAATGAGTGCTACGTCGATCCGTTTTTCGTGCATGTATAAGTCGAGTTCAGTACTGTGCTGTTTCAGTCCGTTGACAGTTCATAGAAGAACTGACAAGGAGCCTACAGTTAAATTATTATGGGCCATAATTTGGGCACCAGACCTGTGTAACCTGTGACAGTTGTTGAAGAAGAATGAAAAGGGGCTGGATTAGGTTATTTAATCCATTAATTATATTAAATAATTGGGAAGAGCCATTATCTATCAGAGGTATCGGTTGGGTAATGCCTCTCCTCGTACCTGTACATGTTTTCTGGTTCGGGGGTGCTGAACTAGATGATGTTTGATTTTGTTGTTGCGGAGGTCCTGCGATGATCTGTGGTTCCCCTTGGTTGTGACGTTGCCGCATTGGGGGGAATTCGTGCATGCCTGGAGGTCCCTGCGCTGGCTCTGCTACTGTGGAACGCTGAAGACGATTTCTTGCATTGCGCTGAACCCTGAGGTCTTTCAGCGTCTGGCAGCCTCTGTAATTAGCGGGGTGCTGACCGGCACAGTTGGCGCATTTCGCGGGAGTGTCTCTGGTTTTCAAACATGAGCTGGTTTCATGATATTCACCGCACTTTACGCATCGTGGTCGATGGTTGCAATAAGTTTTAGTGTGCCCATATTGCTGGCACCGAACACACTGAGGAATATTTCTCTTTTGACGCGGTTCCTCAATTTTAATATGTGAATAATATAGAAATTCAACATTAAAAATTTCTTCTCTAAATGTCTCTTTTGTAATGTCCACAAAGAACATAGGAAGGGGTTTTTTAAATCGAGATATGACGTTAACTACATTGGTGGCTTCGTAACCCAATTTTTTAAATTCTTCTTTAATGATATCGACTGGTGTTCCATGGTGAAGATGTTTAACAACAATCCTTGGACATTTGTCCTGTGGAAGTTGGTAAGTATGGAAGTCTGCACCTTTATTTCGCAGGCTAGAATTTAATTTTCGATAAACGTCAGGATTTTCTGGGTACACAGTGACACCTTTCAATGTAGACTTCGTTTTAAACATATTAGGACCCGTTTCGTTTTCTAGAAATGAGATTAATGCATGGTAATTCTCAACACCGTTTATAAAAATTGGTGGAGTTTTATCGTTTTGAGGCGTTCTTCTAACTTTTTCTGTTTGTAAATTAGTTATGTTGGTTAGAAACTGAAAACTGTTCGAGGTTGGGATAGATTCTGTCGGTCGTTTTTGAGCTCTTGGCTCGCTCGAATCTATCATAGGTCTTTTACGACCAATAACCAGTTCCCAGGAGCCGTCTTCATTGTTTATATCACTGTTTTTAAAGTTCATGTTACTTACCTCAGTTTGAGATGATTCCACCATTGTTGGCGGTGAAATCCGCTCAATTTTTGTTTGGTGTTTTGTCCTTAGCAATCTTGTCTTGATAAAACACTTTTATTACACACAAATTAAGTAT